CCTTTTCATCTCTCAGTTTAATTAAATTGAGTTTTTAAAAACATTTTTATGAATTCCTTGAGAATTTCATACAATGTATTCTGATCATATTTACCCTAGAATCCTTCCTCTAACTCCTTCCAGATCAACCATCAGCTACCTACCTGCCAGCTTTGTTCCTGCTAAAATAAAATGAAACTGACAGATTGGAGCTGTACATATACTGCAGGGTATGTGTCCACCCACTGGAGCACAGGAAACTTAACAGAATCCACACCCTTAGAGACTACTGACCCCTTCAGCAGAAACCATCAACTCCCCACAGCTCCTCAGCTAGCGACTAGGGCACATGAGCCCCTTGACCCTCTGTGCTGGAATGTAGACAGGCTTGATCTTGTTCGGGTCTTATAGAGGCAGCCACAGATGCTGTGAGTTCGTCAGTGCAGCGGTCTGCTCTTGTCCAGAACACACTGTCTCACTCTGGTCCTCTCTGCTCTTCTTTCATGGTGTTCCCTGATCAAGGGGAAGAGGGTGATGGAGATGTCCCATTAGTGACTGAGCACTCCATTGGCATTTACTCTCTGCTTTTGAGCAATTGTGAGTTTCTCTGTTAACCACCCTACACTGCTCAAAGAAACTGACAAGGTCAGAGAGCTGCACTAATCTATGAGAGTAAACAGGAATATGGAGACATTTTCACACCCAGTTCATTTAGCATAATAATAGTAGGTACACCCGTGGGACCAGTGAGCTCCCCATCCATGTGGTTGGGCTCATGGACAGATTCACAGTACTTTTTAAAAGTTGAATGAATTTTCTCTGGTAAATAGTAACAAAAATTATGCACATGAATATCCTGATATTATGGAAAAATAAAAGGAGGCTATTCATGAAACAGTGATTTGGCCACCATGAGATCCAGCAATCACCCTCCTGGGTAGAGATCCAGAGGACACAGACAGTGTGTCAGAGGTTTGCTCACAGGCTCACAGCAGTGCCATTCACAATAGCCAAGAACTGGGAACCACCAAGTGCCTGTCAGCTGGTGAACAGGAAGGATGTGGAACAGACACAGTGGGAAACTCCTCAGCCGTCTCCACCTCCAGTTATAAAGTTAGATGTACTGAACAGGAAAGACATGGGATAGACACAGTGGGAACTCCTCAGCCGTCTCCACCTCCAGTTACAAAGTTAGACGTACTGCTCCTTTACAGCGAACACTGACCATGGTCTATGCATGAGTAGCAGCAACCTGTGGCTTACATTGTGCTTTTAGTGACGTCACTCATTCTGTTCATCATTATGATGAACCTGCTGCTTCGTGACAGTTTTAATGCAGATGTGCAGTGTGAAATCCGCGTTCTATATGAGATGGGATAGGGCAGTGGAAGATCTGAATTCCCACCAGGAAACACTGGACAGCTAGGCTCCCCCTAATTCTACTGTCAGAGACTTGAAACTGCAGATCCTGGGAGAGACTAGGCTGGCTGAAAACTGACCCAAACTTCAGCTACTGAGAAGTAAATTTACAGGGGTCATTAAACCTGAACCACACGTAAGTGTGAGTTTCAACATAGAATTAACACACCAGTGTGCCCTTTGATGTTGGTGCAGGTGACTTGACAATTACTCCACTTTAAGTTCTCATTCCAGGATTTTAACCAGGTTTGGCCAGAATTTGTCCTTGCATCCTTCACGAGAGGGTGATACTTTGAGGAGAGGGAACAACTTATCACAATAATGAATGATACGGGTCTCTCTGTGCCCAAATATATCCATACATAACCTGTGTTCCATGTCAGATGGCCAGCTACAGCCACAATGAGCCTGTGCAGGAGACAGCACATGGCCAGACTCAGGACCCAACAATGGCTACTCCTTCACCTGCTGTAAAAGCCTGTCCTTCTATCAGGCACTCTGACTTCCCACAGTCTCCAGATGACACCCACAGGGTCCACATGCTCATGAGTCATGTAACATGGGAGCCTATCTGAATGCAAAAACACAGTGCAACTCTCCTAAAACGTCCTCATGCCAGAACCTGGACACTTGGTCTCCAGAGGGAGAGCCAGGCTAATTGAGACAAGGTTTAAAGCTTCTCACACTTATCCACTGAACTTTCCACATTCTGAATAACTACTGAGAATGCACAGTGGCCCCATGGCCATGTGTGCCCAGCAATCCCCAGTGTTGGGTGTCAGTCATGCTTTACACCCACCACCCCGTCATGAGAAACACTGGAAATCTGGTGCTTGAGAGACTGCAGTTCCTGCACAGGGGAAGCATGGACTTGACAGAGTCCCAGGAAAGAGCAGGCTAACAGAACGAGCTCCCAACGCTGCATAAACTGCAAGTGCATGTGGACAGTGACTTGAGACTTATCTAGACAGGATGATTATTCACAAACACAGTTATTCAGGTGGAAAGTCCACTGAGGATAGGACAAGTGAAAGCATGCGCTCCCAGGATTCCCACACCTCATTCTGGGCTCTGTCTGCAAATCATTCTACTGTGGCTCATGAATGCTGTGTATTTATTCACTACTGATCGACATATTTTGTACTGTTCCCTCTAAAAGTAAGGGCCACTGGCCTTGCAGCCTAACACTCAGCTAATAACCCACCACCCACCACAAAAGATTAGTGGTGCAGAGGGAAAATAGGAAAGGAGGTATGGTTACATTTGGAGCCAGATGCAAGGGGCAGAAGATGGCACCCTGCAGGTGAATGCCAGCAATAAACCATGATGCCTATGGAGAATCTGAGATGCTGAGACACAGGGTGAGTTCAGACATTTGAGATGAGGAGGCAGCACTGTCAACTGTGTGCCTCCTCTCAAGGATGCAGTGACCTCAGGAGAGATGGAGGGCTGCCATAGGATATATGTAAGTGATTCCCATGGAGGTGTCTCTGAAACACTTCCAGCTACTTCCCCAAATCTATGTGTTTCCAAGGATGCTTGACATAGTTTGGGAGAGAATAAGGATGGGCCAAGCTGGGAGGTAACTGAGGCCAGGATGCCCTTTGTGATTCTCAGAATGAAGTGAAGTGAGGCCTCTGTGACCTCACAGGTAAATCTCTACTGCAGAAACATCAGTGTTCTTTGCCTGGGGGCAACACAGAGTCCACCAAGGAGGGTTGGGATTCGAAGCAGGCCCAAGTCTCTGGGTAAGTTTGGGCTGTTTTCTGGGACAGATGCTACCTGAAATTCATCGTGTGAGTGACTCAGTCAGTGTGGGGCACTTCTTCATTGAGGCCTTAAATGGGGAGAATAAAATCTAGTGAGGTCATTGAAATGTTCCTGCCTGAGGACAGCTCATCCTAAGAACTAGAAAGATCAGGGGTCAGACATCATATTGCAGTGGGACTGGTCCCTCAAGACCACAGGGAGAGAACCCCCTTGTCTCACCAGGGAGAGAGGCCTTAAGATGAATCTGCACGGGTGTATCTAGACCAGAACTCAGCACCCAGCATAGGTAACGAAGAAGGATCCATTCCTGTTTGAATGGCCACATTAGACCAGCACGCACAGCTTCTCCAGAGAAGGTAGGAAAAGCAGGTGGGGAAATGCCATCTGCTCGTCCCTGAGGACTCCAGTCCCTGCAGTAGCAATGTTATCATTTGTACTCAGCTGTCACAATATGGAAAGAAACATCTATGTCACCATCAGAGGAAACACCATGAAAGCACTCTACCCTCTGATTCTGTGATTATGAACATTTGCGCTTTGTATGTGTGCTCGTGTGTGTGCTCTGTCTGCAGGTCCATGTCATATGTGTGAAAGTGCTTATAGAGGACACTGAATGCTGTCACGTATCTTCCCTACCAATATACACATTGCTATCTGAGACAGGGTAACTTTATGTTCAGGCTTTGTTCATAAAATGAACAAAGGAAAAGCCTTTCACCACAGGGAAAGCCTTCCACAGTGCTGGGACAGAGTGCTCAGCACAGTTTGGGAAAGCATGGCTGTTCCTCATGCTGCACTCAGGCACAGAGGAATAAGCTGGACAGAGGTGTGGTCAAGCCTCTGTTACCTCACATAATAGCTCATTGCCAAGGTAAAGGCTGTGGTGTTGATGTGAGGGAAGTCAGTGTCTACTGGGGTGGGCCGGGATTCAGAAAGAGTTGCTTGCAGGTGTGCAGTGAGGTTTGGGCTATGTGGTGGGAAAAATACATACAGGATTCCTGGGATGAAGGCCTAATTAACAGTGTGTTATACTGAAAAGTGGGAGGGTGTAATGTGTGAGGCACAATGTGGTCCTTGAGGTGACCTTTAATAGGACCTGTGCTATAGCAGTGGAAAAGTTACAGTATCAGTGGAATGTGTGCCGAGAAATTGTCCAAATAAGGACTCAGAGAGATGACACCCGCAACTCATCGGACGATGAGGCCCAGGGATGGCCACACCCAGCCTGTACTGCAGACTGGTACAGGGTGAAGTTCTGCTGTTGTGCTGTTCTCCAGTGAGTGACACTCTCAGAAGTCATTGATTACCATTGCATGGCCAGGTACAGAAATTTCATGACATTCTGCTTTCTGGGCAATCCTACTTCAAGCTGCATTTAATGGTGGTGAAGGAACAGGTTGCAGGACAAATTTATCAATCAGTTTGGTACCCAGAGCCCAGAAGATGGCATACTCCAAGTCTCATGATGAGAGACACTTGCTGATAACCAGGGCATCAGAAATGATAAACCAAGAACTACACTTTGCACATTGGGACTGAGTATGCATACCTCATCCCCACTAGACTTGCTCTTCCTGGGGGTAAAGTTCCCTAGAGAAAGAGGAGGCATGGGTCTGAGCTTCTTCCAATGAAATGGTCATAAAAGATGCCTTCAGATACTTCCCATAAGTACTAGCCCAAAATATAGCCATGTGCCTGGACAGGCTTTGAGATTTCCCAAACAGTGAGGCCTGGCCTTGTGACCTCACATAGGGGTCACTGTCATGGTTAAAGGTGTGAGCTATATCTAAGGGCAGCAGAGTCAGAGTAGGCAGGGATTTGAACCAAGGAGAATGTGGGCAGGGGTGCATTTCAGGTAAGTGACTGCAGAAAATCCTTTAGGTGAAGAAGTGATCTCACACCAGTGTATGTAGTTGGCAGGAGGATTTCTGGAAGGGCATTTTGAAGGCACGATTCAGTGTTTGAGGGGTTTTAATGGACAAGACAGATGTGATCTTCAGAAGAATTGCAATTCAAAACCCAGAGAGACATCATCACAGAGCAGGTCCATGTATGACACACAGGGACAAGACAGCATATCCAAATCAGGGAAAGAGGCCTTGTGAAGATCTGCACAGCCTCCAATAGCAAGGCATCCTCAAGACACACAGAGGACTACCCTCTACTGTAACTCCCTGTGATATTCCTTCGTGGGAGGGTACCACAGGAAGAAAATGCAGCATGGTGTCTTGATGGGACTCTCTTGTGGGTCTCACAACTTAGAAGCACCAAACATTCCATATGAATTCATGGGCAGTCTCCACCGCATGGCCAGTGAGCTGTGCAACACGAAGGTCTTTTCTAACTCTCTTTCTTCCCTATATATTTCATCTTTCTATTTGTATGATATAAAATTGTATCATCTGGATGGTGGGCTATGGATGTCTGTGTCTGTGCAATTCCCCTGAGGACAGGTCAATGACATGCCATAAAAGAACATCGATATTATCCTCTATAATTATCCACAAGTCTATTTATTGTTTTGTTTTTCTCTTTTTTTCAGATGATGACCATATATGAACACTAATGTAAATGTAAGTTTTGATCTACAAGAACTCAGAATGATCCACTACATCAGCTGTAAGAAACTGGTATGTTTGACCCTGAGGATAGCCAGACCCTCAATGGTAAGATATGTAGGCATGTCCCAGCAGCTCAAATGAAAGAGGCCTTGGGAACTTAAAAAAATAGTGTGAGTGGGCCTGAGCCTGACCCTGAAAGGGTGAGCAGAATGCAAAAAGCAATGTGGAGCTGAGATGATTCCTAACAATATTTTGAATTAGGCACAGAACCAAATGAGGAGAGATGTGGGTCTGGGCCTACCCTTAAACCTCAAGAGTCCCAAAACAACAGAAGAAAAAAACATAGGGATAGACCTATCCATAAACTTAAGGAGGCCGAGGGCCAAGAAAAGAGATGTGAGCCTGGGACTATTCCTGACCCTGAAGAGCCCTGGGCCCTAACAAGGAAAGATATGGGTCTGGGCCTATCCCAGACCCTGAAAAGGCCTGGGCCCTAACAAGGAGAGATGTGGGCTTGGGCCCATTCTTGAACCTAAAGAAGTCTGGATCCTCAAAAAAAGAGATATGGGTGTGGGCATATCCCTGACTCTGAAGAGACCTAGGCCCTCAGAAGAAGAGATGTGGGCCTGGGCCTATCCCTGACCCTGAAGAGGCCTGGGACCTATAAGAACACATGTGGACCTGGGCCTATCTGTGATCCTGAAGAGGCCTGGGCCCTAACAAGGAAAGATGTGGGCCTGAGCCTAACCCTGATCCTGAAGAGGCGTAGGCCCCAACAAGGAGAGATGTGGGCCTGGGCCTATCCCTGACCCTGAAGAGGCCTGGGCCCTAACAAGGAGAGATGTGGGCCTGGGCCTATCCCTGACCCTGAAGAGGCCTGGGCCCTAACAAGAAAATGTGGGCCTGGGCCTATCCCTGATCTTGAAGAGGCCTGGGCCCAAACAACAAGAGATGTGGGCCTGGGCCTATTCTTGAACCTGAAGAGGCCTGGTCCCCATCAAGGAGAAATGTGGGCCTGGGCATATCCCTGACTCTGAAGTGTAGTGGGCCCAGACAGGGAGAAAGGTGGGCCTGGGCCTATCCCTGATCCTGAAGAGGCCTGGGCCCTAACAAGGAGAAATGTGGGCCTGGTTCTATCCCTGACCCTGAAGAGGCCTGGGTCCTAACAAGGAGACATGTGGACCTGGGCCTATCCCTGACCCTGAAGAGGCCTGGGCCCTAACAATGAGAGATGTGGGCCTGGGCCTATCCCTGACACTGAAGAGGCCTGGGACCTAACAAGAGGATATGTGGACCTGGGCCTATTCTTGAACCTGAAGAGGCCTGGGCCCAGACAGGGAGAAAGGTGGGCCTGGGCCTATCCCTGACCCTGAAGAGTCCTGAGCTCTAACCAGGAGAAATGTGGGCCTGGCCTATCCCTGACCCTGAAGAGGCCTGGGCCCAAACAACAAGAGATGTAGGCCTGGGCCTACTCTTGAACCTGAAGAGGCCTGGGCCCTAACAAGGAGAGATGTGAGCCTGGGCCTATCCCTGACCCTGAAGAGGCCTGGACCCTCAGAAGAAAAGATGTGGGCCTGGGCCTATCCCTGACCCTGAAGAGGCCTGGGCCCTAACAATTAGAGATGTGGGCCTGGGCCTATCCCTGACCCTGAAGAGGCTTGGGCCCTAACAAGAAGACATGTGGGCCTGGGCCTATCCCTGACCCTGAAGAGGCCTGGGCCCAAACAACAAGAGATGTGGGCCTGGGCCTATCCCTGAACCTGAAGAGGCCTGGGCCCTAACAAGGAGAGATGTAGGCCTGGGCCTATCCCTGACACTAAAGAGGCCTTGGCCCTCAGAAGAAGAGATGTGGGCCTGGACATATCCCTGACCCTGAAGAGGCCTGGGCCCTCAGAAGAAGAGATGTGGGCCTGGGCCTATCCCTGATCCTGAAGAGTCCTGGGCCCTCAGAAGAAGAGATGTGGGCCTGGGCCTATCCCTGTCTCTGAAGTGGCCTGGGCCCAGACAGGGAGAAAGGTGGGCCTGGGCTTATTCCTGACCCTGAAGAGGCCTAGGCCCTAAGAAGAAGACATGTGGGCCTGGGCCTATCCCTGACCCTGAAGAGGCCTGGGCCCTAATAAGAACACATGTGGGCCTGGGCCTATCCCTGATCCTGAAGAGGCCTGGGCCCTCAGAAGAAAAGATGTGGGCCTGGGCCTATCCCTGATCCTGAAGAGGCCTGGGCCCTCAGAAGAAAAGATGTGGGCCTGGGCCTATCCCTGACCCTGAACTGGCCTGGGCCCTAACAAGGAGTGATGTGGGCCTGGGCCTATCCCTGACCCTGAAAAGGCCTGGGCCCAAACAATAAGAGATGTAGGCCTGGGCCTATTCTTGAACCTGAAGAGGCCTGGGCCCTAACAAGGAGAGATGTGAGCCTGGGCCTATCCCTGACCCTGAAGAGGCCTGGACCCTCAGAAGAAAAGATGTGGGCCTGGGCCTATCTCTGACCCTGAAGAGGCCTGGGCCCTAACAATTAGAGATGTGGGCCTGGGCCTATCCCTGACCCTGAAGAGGCTTGGGCCCTAACAAGAAGACATGTGGGCCTGGGCCTATCCCTGACCCTGAAGAGGCCTGGGCCCAAACAACAAGAGATGTGGGCCTGGGCCTATCCCTGAACCTGAAGAGGCCTGGGCCCTAACAAGGAGAGATGTAGGCCTGGGCCTATCCCTGACACTAAAGAGGCCTTGGCCCTCAGAAGAAGAGATGTGGGCCTGGACATATCCCTGACCCTGAAGAGGCCTGGGCCCTCAGAAGAAGAGATGTGGGCCTGGGCCTATCCCTGATCCTGAAGAGTCCTGGGCCCTCAGAAGAAGAGATGTGGGCCTGGGCCTATCCCTGTCTCTGAAGTGGCCTGGGCCCAGACAGGGAGAAAGGTGGGCCTGGGCTTATTCCTGACCCTGAAGAGGCCTAGGCCCTAAGAAGAAGACATGTGGGCCTGGGCCTATCCCTGACCCTGAAGAGGCCTTGGCCCTCAGAAGAAGAGATGTGGGCCTGGGCCTATCCCTGACCCTGAAGAGGCTTGTGCCCTAACAAGGAGAGATGTGGGCCTGGGCCTATCCCTGACCCTGAAGAGGCCTGGGCCCTTATAAGAACACATGTCAGCCTGGGCCTATCCCTGACCCTGAAGAGGCCTGGGCCCAAACAACAAGAGATGTAGGTCTGGGCCTATTCTTGAACCTGAAGAGGCCTGGGCCCTCAGAAGAAAAGATGTGGGCCTGGGCCTATCCCTGACCCTGAAGAGGCCTGGGCCCTAACAAGGAGAGATGTGGGCCTGGGTCTATCCCTGACCGTGAAGAGGCCTAGGCCCCAACAAGGAGACATGTGGGCCTGGGCCTATCCCTGACCCTGAAGAGGCCTGGGCCCTAACAATGAGAGATGTGGGCCTTGGCCTATTCTTGAACCTGAAGAGGCCTGGGCCTTTACAAGCAGAAATATGGGCCTGGACTTATTCTTGAACCTGAAGAAGCCTGGGCCCTAAAAGGGAGAGATTTGGGCCTGGGCCTATCCCTGACCCTGAAGAAGCTTGGGCCCTCAGAAGAAGAGCTGTGGGCCTGGGCAAATCCCTGACCCTGAAGAGGCCTGGGCCCTAACAAGGAGAGATGTAGGCCTGGGCCTATCCCTGACCCTGAAGAGGCCTTGGCCCTCAGAAAAGAGATGTGGGCCTGGGCCTATCCCTGACCCTGAAGAGGCCTGGGCCCTAATAAGAACACATGTGGGCCTGGGCCTATCCCTGATCCTGAAGAGGCCTGGGCCCTCAGAAGAAAAGATGTGGGCCTGGGCCTATCCCTGACCCTGAACTGGCCTGGGCCCTAACAAGGAGTGATGTGGGCCTGGGCCTATCCCTGACCCTGAAAAGGCCTGGGCCCAAACAATAAGAGATGTAGGCCTGGGCCTATTCTTGAACCTGAAGAGGCCTGGGCCCTAACAAGGAGAGATGTGAGCCTGGGCCTATCCCTGACCCTGAAGAGGCCTGGACCCTCAGAAGAAAAGATGTGGGCCTGGGCCTATCCCTGACCCTGAAGAGGCCCAGGCCCCAACAAGGAGAGATGTGGGCCTGGGCCTATCCCTGACCCTGAAGAGGCCTGGGCCCTAACAAGAAGACATGTGGACCTGGGCCTATCCCTGACCCTGAAGAGGCCTGGGCCCAAACAACAAGAAATGTGGGCCTGGGCCTATTCTTGAACCTGAAGAGGCCTGGGCCCTAACAAGGAGAAATGTGGGCCTGGGCCTATCCCTGACCCTGAAGAGTCCTGGGCCCTAACAAGAAGACATGTGGGCCTGGGCCTATCCCTGACCCTGAAGAGGCCTGGGCCGAAACAACAAGAGATGTGGGCCTGGGCCTATTCTTGAACCTGAAGAGGCCTGGGCCCTAACAAGAAGACAACAGGGCCTGGGTCTATCCCTGACCCTAAAGAGGCCTGGGCCCTAACAAGGAGAGATATGGGCCTGGGTCTATCCCTGACCGTGAAGAGGCCTGGGCCCTAACAAGAAGACATGTGGACCTGGGCCTATCCCTGACTCTGAAGAGGCCTGGGCCCAAACAACAAGAGATGTAGGCCTGGGCCTATTCTTGAACCTGAAGAGGCCTGGGCCTTAACAAGGAGCAATGTGGGCCTGGGCCTATTTCTGATCCTGAAGAAACCTGGGCCCTAACAAGGAGATATTTGAGCCTTGGTCTATACCTGGCCCTGAAGAGCCCTAGGCCCAAACAAGAAGAGATGTGGGCCTGGGCCTATCCGTTTACCTAAAGAGCAGCATCAGCAACAACAGTCACAACTCCAACAGCAGCAACAACACTCATCTAAAGCCTTTAGTCATCAGCCTTATTGCACACGTCTTGCCCTAACAATGTGTTTATAGTTTTTAATAAATGTTATCTACAATCATGGCTGATCCTGAAACGTTTATTTTGACTCTTTCCCTATAGTGATAACATTGAGCTACTGAAGAACAGGCTGTGATGGTTACTCACAAACAGGAAGTTAGGTAGCTCCATGTATACAGCACATATGTCTATGCTCAGACCTCATCCTGAAGATCAAAGCACCTCTGTCCATGGTTTGTATCCTTTGCCATTTGTGGGAGTCTCTTTAAAAAAGTGGCTGCCCTGAAGGAGTTCCGGGTGCTGCACAGTGCCCTGCAGAGCAGCTCCTCTTACAGAGAGGAGGTCTTTAAGATGCTCAGCAATAAAGAATCTCTGGATCAGATCATTGTGGCCACTCCGGGCCTCAGCAGTGATCCTATTGCTCTAGGGGTTCTCCAGGACAAGGACCTCTTCTCTGTCTTTGCTGATCCCGACATGCTGGATACATTGGTGCCTGCTCACCCAGCCCTGGTCAACGCCAACATCCTGGTTCTGCACTCGGTAGCAGGCAGCACTCCAATGCCAGGAGCTGACTCCTCTTCCCGAAGCATGCCCTCCAGCTCCTACCAAGATGTGCCAGGTGGCTTCCTGTTTGATGGGCTCTCGGATGATGAAGACGACTTTCACCCAAGCACCTGGTCTAAGCCCTCTAGCAGTACACCCAGCTTCTGCCTGGCCTCCCTGGGGTACAGTGGAGCTGCTGGGCCCCGTCCCATCACCCAGAGTGAGCTGGCCACTGCCCTGGCCCTGGCCAGGACTCCAGAGAGCAGCTTTCACGCACCAACTCCTGGCACCCAGGGCCATTCTTCAGGCACCTCGCCAATGTCCTCTGGTGTCCAGTCAGGAACGCCCACCACCAATGATCTTTTCAGTCAAGCCCTCCAGCATGCCCTGCAGGCCTCTGGGCAGCCCAGTCTTCAGAGCCAGTGGCAGCCTCAGCTGCAGCAGTTGCGTGACATGGCCATCCAGGATGACCAACTGAGCCTCCGTGCCCTTCAGGCCACTGGAGGGGATATCCAAGCAGCCCTGGAGCTGATCTTTGCTGGAGGAGGAGCCCCATGAACTTCTAGTACCCGAGTGCCTAGCAAGTTGCAGAGGCGATTCCTACAAGGAGACACTTGTGAAGTTGCCTCCAGCCCCCCACACTCCCAATATATCTGATGGTCTACTAAAAAAAAAAAAATTAAATAAAAAGCTAGTGAAAGGCGTCAAGTAGGTAGGAGCCCTCACCTAGTTATAAAATCACTGGGATAAAATTTCTAAATTAGAGGGACAGCTCCCAACCCCATCCAGTGAGGAAATCAGATTAGCACCCATTGCTACAGAGGTGCTGATGAAGGTCTGGGAGGCAGAGGAGTGAGAGAAGGCTCAGTGTGGATCACAGGACACCAGGCATTGGAAATGGTCTTCCAGTGAGACTCCACAGGAAGATGAATGGACCTCCACTGGTATCCTCTGCATGGTGCCACAACACAGTCACGGACAGATTCATGTCCAAGGAACAGTAAAGTGTGCTCTGCTCCTTCAGCTTGAGAACTAGAGGCTGGCGGGTTGCAGCTCTGAGCTTGCTCCTGTTGATCCTGGGAGGTCTAGGTGGCAGGTTTGTTGGTGTGTTCCATGTTGATACTCAGACACGGGGAGGGTGTCTTGTAGAAATGACATGGAAACTGCACCCATGAAAACACAAACTATGGGAGCCAAAATGAGACAGAAACAAGGGGAATGCCATTGGACGTGCTTTTACGGGTAGGAGGGGAAACTCATGGGGACTCTTCCTGAGACGAGGAGCTATAGGGAACTAAGCATTGCCGATGGAGGGGAATCAGTTGTCCAGAGAGATGAATTCCCCTACCTGGTTATCCAGTACCTAGTATTCAGACCTGAAAACACACATGCGAGCATCACTGAACAGGCGCAGCCTATGGTAGGTTTAAATCTTAGCATTTTTCTGTAAACATCTGCCAATAATGGAAACATGCCGTCATCATTCTGAGAGGGCGAGAGAAGGAAAATGGGCAACAATTGGAGCAAGGACAGTGCAATGGTGTGGTTTTGTTTTCATTCTACAAATTATAAATGTAACTATTTAATGGAAGACTGGCTGGGTGAGATACTCCTATTGTAATATTTATGCAGTGAAACAGTTATTTCAACACTCTTGTCTCCACACCTAATCTCCCTTCTCCCAAGAAGACACTCGCACAGACATTACAACATCGTGTTGGACATGGGGTTCTGTGGTGACAGGGAGAGTTACCTTGAGCCTTTAAATCAGCTGACACCCCAGGATATAATTAATGCTCTATCCTCTCCTACAAACCATGCCACCCACACATATCCCCATCTCTCATATTAAACCAATTCCCACTGTGCGGCCTTCATCTGGAAGGGAAGTAACACAGAAGCGAGGACTGCGAGCAGCTCACTTCTCACTGCAGCAGCAGAACCCTGGTCGGCCTTTTGTTTCAGGTTTATACAGGTACCTGAGTACTGAGTACCAGAGTCAGACTCCAGAAAGCCAGGAATTAGCCTATAAATGTGTTTTTCAATTTCCTAATTATTTTTAGATATAACTCAACTATTTCCCCACACCTCAAATGCACTTATAAGGCTTTTGTATTATCTACATAAATATTAAACCATTTTCACTTTTATGCAAATACTATGGATAGTTGGTTCGTGTCAAGAATAAATCTTTTGAGATGTATGTAATTTACTGTGAAAAACCAATGAAAGGCTCTGGGAACATAAAGAATTTGTTTATAATATTGCTTGTTAAGTTCCATCTAGTACACATTGAGTGCCCAAATCATACAAGAATTCTTAACATGTGGTTTTCAATATCCAGAACATCCAACTCTGTAGTTAACATCATTTTGTCCACTTCTAATACCTGGATTGATTTTAAACCAGGTATTGCTACATGGGCAGTCCTGGCCTTGAACTCACAGCACTCCTCCTTCCTCTCTCCCTCAAGTGATGAGACTCAGGGGCCACCACCCTGGCTCTGTTCCTAACATCTGCAATTAGAGGCACAGCTGCAGATGGAAGCACATGAGCACACAAGGCTTGCACTCTTCTCCCCTGACCTCAGCGTGGAAGCTGGAAAGGGTTCTGCTCTGACGGGGACCAACAACAGGTGGAGTACACATCAGTGCATCAGGACTTGGGCTCCTCTGCCTATCTACCGAAGGTCACACTGATGAGCATCACCAGTGTTGGACACACTAGGAGAAGGATCAAAGAATATACACTACAATTTCATATAAAAGTCAATGAAAATTAATACCTTATGCAGTTCTGCTTTACATAGGAAACAGCTCTTTAAGTCATTTTGGAAAATTCATCTTCTTACCTATATTTTTCAGTCACTAGACTGATTCTACAAGGAAGGGTGGCCTCTGTTTGTAACTTTGTAAATCTCATCAGCCTGGGCATATGGATGACTTATTAGAACACTGTGGTGGTGTCTTTCTGCTCCTGCTGAGCTAAGGAGGTTTCACCTGAACAAATACAGTGTCACTAGCACCCGTGAGTGCTGAAATGTAACACTCTGTCCTGTAAGGGCCACAGGGTAGAGACAAAAATGAATCTTCTTAAAACCAAGTAACTGAGTCTCAGGACTTTCCATCATTCATGTTTTATTTAGGTACCAGGTACTTCATAGTTAAGGTATTTACTCCCCAAAATACAAAGAAAATGAAATGAAATGAAATGAAATAACATTACCTTTCCCCGAAGATGAGGAAACATTTTCAAAGGCCATGTGAAGACACACAAGGCAGCAGTTCACATTTCCTGAGAAAAAGAAAATGGTCGAAAAGCATAAGGAAATGAACTGAGCCCACCCACCACCTGCCTCTGCACCAAACTCTTACTCCACAGCACACAGGGCTGAACAGCAGTGACAATGACGTCCACTGCATAGTCAGTGACAGTGAATTCTCACACGTTTCCTTTAAAGTATAAAAAGGTTTCACACGGATTTTAGCAGCATTAAAAAATGAAATTTTAAATAATATATTTTAATTGGGAATTTCATATATAAACATAGTTTATTTTTTACATAGTCTGCTTCGTTTCTCCAAATCCTGCCTGATCTCACACTCAGCTGCACCATTTTGGTGTCTTTTTTGGGGGGGTGGGGGCAAAACCTACCTAAGGCAGCATTTCACGCCCGTCCTCTCGTGTGTAGGGCTATCCAACAAGATCTGCTCAACCTACCATTGCATCGTCACATTAAGGAAAACTCACTCTTCCTCCTCTAGAAGCCACCAACTGTCAACAGCTTCTCATTGGGGGAGGGGCCACTGAGCTCCTTTCCCTTCCATGCTAGAATACTGACTGGCTTCATCCTAGAGTTCCTAAAAGCAGCAGGACTGTCATGTAAAGTAGACAGAGCTTTATTGCAATTCCAAGACCTCTGGATCTTAAAATCTGTCCACCACTCTTCCGGAATGGTCTCTGAGACTCAGAGGAAGGTGTAATAAATTCACATAAATTCACATTTATGCCTGTGAATGCCACATCTCTGAATTTGGACAGTTCCTGCATTAGGAGACTTCTTTGATGAGGACTGAGCTCACTAACCTGCGAGTACAGAGATGTGAATTCAGAGGCAGTGTGACCTGACATTTAACATAGAGATGTGAATTCAGAGGCAGTGTGATCTGACATTTAACACAGAGATGTGAATTCAGAGGCAGTGTGATCTGACATTTAACATAGAGATGTGAATTCAGAGGCAGTGTGACCTGACATTTAACACAGTAGTTGTGGTAGGCTCACCTGGGGGCCTGCGAGTGTGCCAGCCACAGGTACTATACTAGATTTGCACTATGATGCGGGCTTTTGTTCTTGTGGGTTGGATTTTAATTCCAGTGAGAATGTGGCTCGTCACTGCAGTGTTCTTCATGAGCATGGGCCCATGAGCTCCTATGCTTGATTAGGTCACAGAGGGCAAAACTGTGTGGGAAGGACTAGGAGGTGTGGCCTCATAAGGTGTGTCACTAGAGATGAACTTTGAGGTTTCTCTCTGACTCATGCTTGTTATTCCAAGATGTAAGCTCCCAACTGCTGCTCCAGCACCACGCATACCAGTCGGTTGCCATGATCTCTGCCATGATGGCCATGGACTCATCATCTGAGTCTGTAAGGCCCTAATAACTTTTTCTTCCGTGAGCGCCCTTGGTCCTTGTGTCTCGTCACAATACCAAGTAAATCAGACAGCCATGCCCGTGACATTCAAGCACTATTGCCCCAATAGGTACATCTTGCCACACTGGTCGTCATTTATAGTTCACAGGAATACAGCTGGAGGAAACTCGTGCTGGTCCCATCCATGAACCTAAATAGAGCATTTTTGTACTATAAATCTAGCCACTGTGGAGAAAACATCTTTTCATGACATATTTGATTTCTCTATGTCCTGTGACTAATGCCTGTAGTGTTTCCAGCAGTGGGGTCTTAACCTCAAGTTCTGGTGCACCACCAAGATCAATGGCAATAGTCTGTAACAATCAACTTTTAAAAGTCAATAGCTACACTAGCAAAATTAGTAGTAAAATGCAGGTAGTGCAGAAAAATATCAGCTTAACTCAGGAAATGTTGGAAACAAGGTGAAAACTATTTTCTACCTTCTACCCCAGGTTAATATTTCAAAATAAAGTTATGAGATAATATATGATTGTGTTTCAACAAAACATCATACTTGAAAACATTACCAAAAAATAAATAAGAGGAAAGAGAGAAAGAAGAAAATGTACCTTCTCAGTTCTGTGGGTGCAAAGATACAGAGCAAGATGGCAGCGTCTGGAATCCGGCTTCTCAGATAACTTTCTGTTGTCCTCTCACAGGTAAATGATAGGACAGAAGTCAGAGATAAACACCAGGTTATTACCTGCCACTCAGGTGGCAAATTCACTCCAACAGGCCCTTATTTGCAATGACACCAGTCCTCCATAAGGAGGAGAACATGACCATCTCCCTAAATGTTCACCCCCCGGTGCTAATGCCGTGGTGAGCACACTACCAGCCACTGCCTAATCATGGATACACGGAGGACATATTTTACAGACTGGAACATACACATGGATCCATTAAATGGTTGAGACAATCGAAAGCTTGCCACATGGCCTCCTGCCTCCTGTATTTCCAGAAAGGGACCGAAGCGCACCGGCAGTCACCTCCAAGCGCCATTTGCTCTTGGGGCAAAGAAGGGGAAGAGGGTGATGGAGATGTCCCATTAGTGACTGAGCACTCCGTTGGCATTTGCTCTCTGCTTTTTGAACAACTGTGAGTTTCTCTGTTAACCACCCTACACTGCTCAAAGAAACTGACGAGGTCGGAGAGCTGCACTAATCTATGGGAGTAAACAGGAATATGGAGACATTTTCACACCCAGTCCATTTAGCATAATAATAGTAGGTACACCCATGGGACCAGCCTGGTTATTCTTGCATGGATAGCTGCTAAAGTGCTGCTTTCCTTCAGTTTTCCTTCCCTGGAATTCTCAAAGTATCTCCCATGGTCCTCACTTCATCGTCCTGGCAGGGCCTCCCGAGCTCTCCCCGTGGCTCACTATGCACCTGCAGTGTGGAAAGGTGTGTGACTTTGTGCGTCAAGGCCCCAATGCGCTCATCACCTCCATACACCTTCAGCCCAGGCTGCAGCTTCACCAGCTTCTCATTCCCACCAGCATGGTCCCTAGAAGTCAAACAGGAGGCCTGGGGTCACCTGATGAGATGGAGGGGCTGCTCGCTTGTCTTTAACCCCTGACCAAATGGAATTTTCACTCTGCCTATATGTTTTTCAGTAGAAACAGGCAACCAGGAACCACTTTTTACCTGCCATTTGGCAACACTGAAAACAACTTTCTCAGGTGTCCAGCACGCCCCTGAACAGAGAAAGCTGACCACATACAGCTAGAGAGTCCCAAGCATGGTTCCATGGAACCTGGAGAGGTCCCACTTGAACAGAAGCCTCACTCTTACCACATCTCCTGAGGGGAGGGATTGGGCACCAAGGAGGGGGTGCTGGTTAGAAAGCTCCCCCAGGTAATCCAAATGTGCCAACACTCTTGAGCTATTCCGGGAACTTCTAGAACCATGATACTGCCCACCTGAGGGAAATTTGTCACCACAGGACAGCCAGGGTGGTGGCACCTCCTCGAACCAGGGATTCCCACAGTTCCCCAGGGTGCCCTTTTGTCTTTTAAAAAAGCAAGAAGCAGAGGACAGGGCCATGGTACAGGCACAGATAGGAGTACCCCCACACTGTTGGTCCCTCTCAGCTCCAAGATGGGCATGGGAAACACCTGTCCCCTGTCAGTCCCTTGGATACTTCGCTCCAGAGTCAAACAATCCATGGAACAGCAGGGCTGTAAGATAACAGGGAGGAGCAAGTGACCCGGCTCTCTGCTCCACTGCCTCCAGGCCGGGGATCAGACACAGGCCAGGGAGGCCCATCGCCTCATCACCTACCTTTTCAAATGTCACTACCAATAAGCAATAACACAACTTGATCATCCTTTGAGCCGCAGGCCAAACCTGTAGCTCAGCCTTGGGCTTGACGATGACATAAACATGAGGAGGTGATAGAAAAAGCCAGAATCCTCCACATTTTCAGGAAAGAGGCATCTGAAGTAGTAGTTACTGAGGTGGAAGAGAAAACACAGAATGTGGAAAGTGTTTGATGACTGCAAGGCAGATGCCACCAGATCCCCAAAGGTGGAAGTGTCAGCAGCTGGGAGCCCAGGGAAGGAGTCTCAGAAAACAGAGCAGCTGTAATGTGTAGCACAGGCCAAGGCTAAGGTAAACTCCCTGGCCCGGTGCTGAAGCCTCACTCAGGACCTCAGGCCTGGCTAAACCAGCCACAAAGGCAGTGACTGAGAGGCACAGCTCCAAGCTTTGCTTACACCAGGGGAGTCAGTGGGAGCTCCCGGCTCTGACATGCCCAAGACAGGGTCAAAAAAAAAAGGCTCTGGCTTTCTTCATGGAGTCGTTTAGAAAAGAAAAGTGAGAGCCTAACAAACATTTCTTCTACCTTTGTGGAGCCTTAAAAGATCAAAAAAGCAAGTTCTAGGCCAGCCAGAGACCCTGGCGCAAAAATAAAAAACAAAAGAATAACACAAGTCAGGAACCAGACTTTGGGCAACACTATCCCCAAAGCCCCAAATTCAAGGGCAGCCTGCATCACAGAGTGAAATCCCATCTCAAAACACAAAAACCAACCATAAAACAAAAGCCAATCAACACTTCTGGAAACATAGCCTCCCCCCCACAAAAAAAAAGGTCAGGGTCTCACAGCCTGGAGCTCACTATATAGACTGGTGAGCACTAAACTCACAGAGCCCCACCTCTCTCCATCTCTCCATTTTGTTGTGTGGTTTTTTTTGGGGGGGGGCGGGGCATGTTGTTTGTTTAAGAAAATACTGATGCCTACCTACTCTTCTTTTCTCTGAAATGATAAACCAAGAATTACACTTTGCACATTGGGACTGAGTATGCATACCTCATCCCCACTGGACTTGCTCTTCCTGGGGGTAAAGTTCCCTAGAGAAAGAGGAGGCCTTGAATTGAGCTTCTTCCCATAAAATGGTCATAAAAGATGCCTTCAGATACTTCCCATGAGTACTAACCTAAAATATATAACCCATGTGCCTGGACAGCCTTTGAGATTTCCCAAAGAGTGAGGCCTGGTCTCTGTGACCTCACATGAGGGTCACTGTCATGGTTAAAGGTGTGCTCCATATATAAGGGCAGCAGAGTCAGAGTAGGCAGGGAACCTAGGAGAATGTGGGCAGGGATCCATTTTAGGTAAGTGACTGCAGAAAATTCTTTAGGTGAAGAAGTGATCTCACACCAGTGTATGTAGTTGGCAGGGGGATTTCTGGAAGGCGGTTTGGAAGGCACAATCAGTGTCTGAGGGGTCTTAAAGAACAAGACAGATGTGATCTTCAGAAGAATTGCAATTCAAAACCCAGAGAGACATCATCACAGAGCAGGTCCATGTATGACACACAGGGACAAGACAACATATTCAAATCAGGGAAAGAGGCCGTGTGAAGATCTGCACAGCCTCCAGTGCCTTAGCAAGGCATCCTCAAGACACACAGAGGACGACCCTCTATTGTAACTCCCTGTGATATTCCATCGTGGGAGGGTACCACAGGAAGAAAATGCAGCATGATGTCTTGATGGGACTCTCTTGTGGGTCTCACAACTTAGAAGCACCAAACATTCCATATGAATTCATGGGCAGTCTCCACCACAGGACCAGTAGCTGTACAACAAGAAGGGCTTTCCTAACTCTGAAAAACTAATCGGTCAACAACAACCACATCTTCCTTTTCAGTGAGCCGGCTGCTGGAGAAGCAGAATATTTGCTTGATCCTAGGAATTAACAGAGGCATTAAACATTGTATGTTTAAATATCATCTGCTGTCAACTTCCTAGAACCCCGGTGCCAGTCAAGAATTTCTTATCTGTAACCACCTGTGGTGGGGCACACCTGTAATCCCAGCTCTTAGGAGGTGGAGGCAGGTGCATCTCCACACATTTGAGGCCAGTCTGGTCTGTGTAGTGAGTTCTAGGCCAGCTTGGGCTACAAGGTGAGACCCTGTTTCAAACAAAACAAAAACAAAAAACCAAACTCAAGAATTTCTCAGCCGATTTTCCTGAGGGTCTAGCAGCAGCTAATCTTTCTGCCTCAGTGAAGTGCAAGGGTCCTGCACAAGGCTTGGCCTTGTCCCCTCACAGCTTAAGAGCAGGGGTGCTTGTTGCTGAGTGGAACAGCATGGTACTGGAGCTGTCATGTGGAAGAGCAGAGGATGGTTGATTCCTCTGTGTGACATCCTAGAACTCAGCAACATCATCTAACCGAGGAGGACCATTCTCACCTGCTACCAGTGCATTCATTCACTCGCCCACTCATTTATTACTCAGTCATTCACTCACTCATTCATTCATTCATTCATCCATTCATTCACCCATTCATTCATTCATTCATTCATTCACCTGTTCACTCATTCAGTTACTGCTGTTCTCCCATAGATTTCTCTGCAGCCTCGGAGAAAGGTGTACCTGAGGAAGAAAACTCCCAAGAGAGCCTTGGGCTGGGCTCAGGGCTGAGCTGCTGGCCACACTGACATCTCCCTCAGCCCTCAACTCTCCCCTGAGGCCTCCTCTGGGAGCCTGGGCCAGAGAGGGCAAAACCTGCCCCAGTCTCCCTGTGGCCCAGAGCTGCTCCTGAGGTGCTACCTCTCAGATACCAGGGTACTGTCTTGGCAGAAGCAGCCACCATGGGATTTGAGCAGGGCTTTGGGGGCAGCAGCCACAGCTGCTAGGAGATGAAGGTGGTTGACAGGGAGGCAGAGGCAGCTAGGGCTGACTACTCCACAGATGTTCCAAATCCTGCCGGACCTACCAAGATGTTTCCTAGGAAACATAGTGTGAAACCCTGGCGCTGTTCCCTGGATTCCAGATTTTTCCCAAGACATGAACTCCTTTGAGAATCTATTATGAGCCATGGACACACACACACACACACACACACACACACACACACACACGGGTTTAATTTCTATATCAGGCTTTTAAGTGTAGAAATTGGCCTTGGGAAGTGCCAATGTCCTCTTGTGACAGGATACCTTCCCTTTTGTCCCCTACCAGCACTTTCTGGGGCCACCTCCTACATAACCACTGCCTAGGTCCTTCTGGGGTGGGCCAGATACACAGGATTGTGATTAGAAGAAAAGGAACTGAGCCAGGCACGGTGATACACAACTGTAATCCTAGCACTTGGGAAGCAGAGGCAAGAGGATCCTAAGTTTGAAGCCAGCCTGGCCTACATATCAGGACACTGACTCAAAAACAAACAAAAGCCAGGCTTAGTGGTTCACCAAGAAGGAGGAACACTGTGAATTCAGGGACAGCCTGGGCTACATTGCAATTTCTAGTCCAGCCGGAAGGAAGAGCTCTAACAGGCCCAAGCACTGACAGATTTTGCCGTTTCCCCTCCCCTCTCCCTTGCTAACCCTTAGATTATATTCCTAAAGCTAGCCCCCAAGGTCTATCCCCTTATTTGGCCACTGTCTCATTCCTGAGACTGAACCCCAAGGTCCAGCAACCAAAATTCATTATTTGGCTATGCTGGCTAACCTGTCCAATCAGGTCTTACCGACTCACCCTAACACAGACTTCCCCTTTTCTCCTTAAAAACCCACCCTTGCAGACAACACCAGCTGCTTGCTGTCTGCCTTTGCCCAACCCAGAGGTAACTGCCCCACTCCCCCCCAACCCGCCCCACTCGTCCCTCCGGGGTAATAAATCTTTGTGCTGAGAATTTGGTGTCTGGGTGTGTTCTGCACTGACCCCGAGGGGTCCCCCAACTCTTACACAGAACTTGTCTCAACAAAACAAAATTTAAAAGGGGAACTAGATGTTGGGTAGACAAACACTTCAGAAAGAACTGTTTGGCAAAATAAAAAATATTCTGCAGGGCACAGGGCGGTTCACGTGGCTTAGTTTACTCAAGTCATCTTACCAGGGCCCCAGAGCATGCCAAGACAGACCCTTTCTGTCAGAGTTGCCTGCCTGGCATACACAGATGTCAGTGCACATCTTCCCAGGAAGTTGCATGGTGAAAAGATAATAAACACAAACATGTCTGGAAAGCTCTGCTCCTCTCACAGACGCTAAGCGCACAGTATCACATACTCATGGGGAACCTTTTGGGCCCTTCCTGAAGCCCCTTCCTGGGCCAGGAGTGATCAGCTCTGAGGCATACTAGGTGGGGTGGGTCGCAGACTGGGGACACTGTTGCTGGGCTGGGAGGTTGGGGAAGGCATCCAGACAAAGGGCTAGGGAAGAATGTCGCTACTTAGTCACAGCAAGTCACTACCCTGAGTGACAGCAGGGGTGTCTGTGTCGTCTCTTCTAAAGGGAAACCAAGAATTTGGGGCACTGACTTTAAACATGGACAACTGACTTAAATTTAGGGATGTGGGTGTGGCTCAGTTGACAGAGTGCTTGCCTAGCGTGCACAAAACTCTGAGTTCCATCCTTAGCATTCCATAAACTGGCTGTGGTGGTTCATGCCTGCACTTCTGGAACTCAGGAGGTGGAGGTAAAACTCAGGAGTTCAAGGTCATGCTCAGCTATGTAAGAAGTATGAGGCTGGCCTAGGCTCCATGAGATCCTGTCTTAACAAAACCAAACTGCTCAGCTATGTAAGAAGTATGAGGCTGGCCTAGGCTCCATGAGATCCTGTCTTGACAAAACCAAACCAAACCAGACCAGCACCACCAGTGAGAAATGGCCCCCATTGGCTCATATATTTTAATACTTGGTTTCCAGTTGATGGAGCTGCTTGGGAAGGTTTAGGAGGTTTGGCCTTGGAGGATGTGTAGCACTGGGATGATCTTTGAAGTTTCAAAAAAAAAAAAAAAAACACCTCATGGGATTCTCAGTGTTTCTCTGTGTGTGTGTGTCTCTCTCTGTCTCTGTCTGTCTCTGTCTGTCTGTCTCTTCCTCTCCCCTCTGCCTGCTGGTCTGATGGTTGCCGATCAAGATGCTATCTCTCAACTGTTTCTTCCCTCTTACATCATGGACTCTAGCCCTCTAAAACCATAACTCAAATTAAACACATTCTTTATATGTTGCCTGGGCAATGTGTTTCATTGCAGCAATAGGTAACTAAGACAAAAGTAGGTACCAGGAAGTGAGCTATTTCTGTGATAGGTCTGACCATGCTGTTTTTGGAGGAGTGTGGAAGAGACTGGGACTTCAGACTAGGAAAATAGTTCAATGCCATAAACAAGACTTAAGGGGCTATACTAGCTGGAATTTGGAGGACAGCAATGCTAAAAGCAATGTGGACCATGAAGGCCTAGCTTAAGAGGTTTCAGGAGAGAGTAATATTAGAAACTGGTCAGAGATCATGTGTGCAATATGTTGACAAAAATGTAGCTGACTTTTGCTCTTGTCCTAAGAATTTGCCTGAGGCTGAATTGAAAAATAACAGTAATTGCTTTGGTGGAGGAGATTTATTTATTTATAAAGATTTATTTATTATGTATACAGTGTTCTGCCTGCATGGCAGAAGAGGGCACCAGTTCTCATTACAGATGTTTGGTTGGGAGCCACCATGTGGTTGCTGGGAATTGAACTCAGGTCCTCTGGAAGAACAGCCAGTGCTCTTAACCGTTGAGCCATCTCTCCAGGCCCCGATATTTATTTTTTTATCTCTATTTTTCTTTCTCTTTCTTTTCTTTCTTTCTTCTTCTTTTTTTTTCTTTTTTTGAGACTAGGTTTCTCTGTGTAGCCCTGGCTGTCCTGAAACTCATTATGTAGACCAGGCTGGCCTTGAACTAAAAGATTCACCTGCCTTTGCCTCCCAAGTACTGGGATTAAAAGTATGCACTGCCCAGCTTGTTGGGGATTTCAAGATGGTCTAATATTGACTCTGTTGTTTGGTTATTAGTAATCACTCTTAAGCAGGTCTAGAATGAAAAAGAGCAAGTGGGGCAAAAAGAAATAAAATGTACAGTTCGAGGAGAAAAAGAAAACCAGGAAACATAATATTGGTGCCAAGGTTTGTTCCGAAACAGAGGAGAGGCCTGATGGAGAAAGGGAATAAAGGAAGTGTGGAGGGGTGCCCTCAGGGCAGGACCCCACACAGCTACTCTTTCAACTTGTAAAAAGGAAAGGGCTAAGGAGTTTCCTGCTAAAAAGCAACCAAAGGAAAGTTTCTGCAAATGTGACTTAACGGGACCAGGTTCCATCCCAAGTAGGCAATCAGACTTGGCTGTGTCATCCATGTGGTTCTGGCTTTAGAGTCACGAAGGATACACAAGTAAAGGGGTTTGGAAGCTTCCTCACTTTTGGAATAGTAATGCACATACTGTGCCATTGTGTCTTGGACCTATGTACTTTGCTTTTTTATCTTACAGGGGGCTACCATAAAGAGAGTGCCTTGAGTCTCAGAAGGGACTTTGGACTTTGAAACGGGGTTGAGACTGTGGAATACTATGGGGCTTTTGTAGTTGGACTAAGTGCATTTTGCACTGTGATATGGCCACAAGCCTATGGGGACCAGGGATTGGAAGGTGGTGGTTTGAATGAGAATGCCTCCCATAGGCCCATTTGAAGCCTCAGTTGGTGGAACTGTTTGGGGAGGATCAGGAGGCAGGGCCTTGGAGGAAGAGGTGCATCACTCGGGTAAGTTTTGAGGTGCTCTCAGATCTTCCTTTGCTCCCACCATCATGGATCTGAACACCCTGAAATTGTAAGTCAAATCAAACGCTTTCTTTGATAAGTTGCCTGGGTCATGTTTTATCACAGCAATAGCAAAGTAACTAGACAACCACCTATGGAAAATGGTTAGGGCCAATCAAATCCCTGCCTTCAAAGTGCACCTTAGCCTGCAGCAACATTGACCGGCACTTGCCGGAACAGAGAACCATGGCTTCACATGGTCCCTGGGTGGCCTTGTGCCTGGCCAGATTTGTGCAAGATTGGTTAACGGAAGGCACTGGAAGTGGCTGAGTCCCCCTGAGGAGCCCCTGCCCAGGACTCAGACTGGGTGGCTCAATTTAGTATCCCAATTTATTCAAGTATTAGAAAACTCCTTTAGGGAGCTGGACAACAAAAATAGAAAGTCTGTAAACAAGGTGACTTCCTTCCTTCCCCATCCCTTCTCATGAGGAGCTTCCTGTGACGGGATTCTAGTTGGCAATCCGGCAACGAGGCTGCATGAAAGGCAGTAGGCCATGGCTGGGCCAGGAGGTTAGTCTTTCTAAGAGTGTGGATGGCCCAGGAGAGTTGGCCACTCTTGTCCTGATGGGGCTACAGAGTTTCATTTGCTAATTGCCTCCTGGAGTCTTTGGCAGTGGTGAGACCCCTGTGGGAGACAGGCCTCTGGGCAGCAGACATAGGCAGGCAGGGAAGCAGGTGCAGGTGCAGGCTCTCCAGACTTCCGTATTGCTGGGGTGGCATGAGCCACAGCACAGGGACAGGTGGGGCATGGCCAGGCAAGGAGTAGAGCGTGCAGCATCCATGCCAGTGGCCCCACATCCTTCCCCGTAAAAGTGAAGAGCAGGGACAATGTTATCTGGAGCACGTCATTGGGCAGCCCAGGTCTGTCAGTCCCTGAAGGGGTTGCAAGTGTCTTCTGTTTGCTCCTTCTCTGCAGCCAACAGTTCCCCATTCATGTCCTGCAGTGGGTGGTACACATAGTCCCCACTGAGATGTCGGTTCCTCTCTGCCTTGGAGCCCAGGATCAAGGTCACATTGACCACAGTGCTGATCAGCAGCAGGAAAACTAGGATGAGGGTAAGTGCCAGCCATGTGGTCCTAGGACAGAAGGGACTCGTGAGTGGGGGGCTGAGGGGCAGTCTCGGGCAGGCAGAGACCACTCGGGGAATGCTGAGCCCAGGGGGCTGGGTGGGGACTGGAGCACACTGAAGACACACGCGGGGAATAAGAGAGACATTCTCTGATGTTTGAAGGATGTTAAAAATATTTCAGATAGCTCATGCTTATCTTGTAAACATGAAGAACCAAGTTTGATCACTAGAAAGTACTTTTTAAAAGCCAAGAACAATGGTACACACTGTTATTGCACTGTCTGGAAGGTGGAGCTCACGGGCCAGCTGGTCTAACCTAACCTTCGAGTCTCAGGCCAATGAAAAACAAGGTGGACAGGTACTGAGAAAGACAACCAAGGTTGTGATCTGGCACGCACACACACACACACACACACACACACACACACACACACACATACACACATCTTTCTTTATTTTTATTTTATGTGCATTGGTGTTTTGCCTGCATGTATGTCTGTGTGAGGGTGTCAGATCCCCTGGAACTGGAGTCACAGACAGGTGTGAGCTGCCAAGTGGGTGCTGGGAATTGAACCTGCGTCCTCTGGAAGAACAGCCAGTGCTCTGAACCACTGAGCCACCTCTCTAGCCCCTAGGAGGTTTTTTAGTTGTTTTGAGGCAGAGTTTCTCTGTGGAGCCCTGGCTGTCCTGGAACTCGCTTTGTTGACCAGGCTGGCCTCAAACTCAGATATCTGCTTGCCTTTACTTACACATGCATGTACACACACACACACACACACACACACACACACACACACACACACACACTTCTAATGTGAACATTACTGCTTTTCAGATGTCACTAATGTATTTTTGAAGTACGGGGAGTTGAACCTAGAGCCTTGTGCATGCTAGGCAAATGCTCTACCACTGAGCTACCACCTCAGTCCCCTTTTTACTTTTTATGTTAAAACAGGGTCTCACTAAGTTGCCCAGGTTGGTTTTGAACTCACTCTGTAGCTCAAGTGGGCCTTGAAGTTGCTATCCTCCCGATAGCCGGGATGACAGACTTATGCCAGAAAGCCCAGCTCAAGAATCTATCTATTCAGGGTCTTATGTATCCCAGGTTGGCCTCAGACTCCTGATGACCTTAAACTCCCGATTCCCCTGGCTTCGCCTCCCTAGTGCTGGAATTATAGGCACGTGCCACCACATCTGGCTTATGAAGTGCTGGGGGCTGGGCCCAGAGCTTCCTCAGGCTAGGCAAACCATCTGCCAACTGAGCCACATGCCCAACTTCACAATCCTTCCCATGAGCCCTCTGGGGATGGAGCTGGAGACCCAGGAAGCAGCAGAAAGGAAGCAACAGTAACACAAAGCCTGAACACACAGAAGGGCCCAGAAGTGAGGCGAGTCCTTCCTGTCTCTACAGCTCAGCTCCGGGATCAGAGTTGACTCTCTACGGCCAGGGAGATCAAGCCCATAGTCTGCCACCTTTGACTCCCACTGGGCAGTGCCCCGTCTTTCTCACTTGCACTCTTAGATGCCAGTTTCACCTGTGACTGTCCCTGAGCTTGCAAACTAGAGGATCATCTGCACCCTTCTGGCCTGGCTGGTGCCTGGACAGATGCCAAACCTCATGGATGGGGTGTGAGGGCTCTGCCTCTGCTGAAACACTTACCTGGTGAAAAAGGCCAGCTCTCCTGCCCTTGGTGTGGCCTCAGTTGGCCGGAGACACTGCTTCACTGTAAGACACCACACAGAAGATGCAGGGTTGGAGAAGGTCTGCCTACCCCAGACCTGCCCCAAGGGTTCCAGGAGACCCTGTACCTTGGGAGATGCTGCAGTTGCCAGTCTGGGGGTCGCAGGGACACTGATGCTCACACTGGCAAGGCCTCTGGCAACCTGGCCCGTACCAGCCCAGGGGACACTCTGTGGAGAGGAAATCGTGGTGGGTAGGTTTCTCCTTGGGTGGCAGGGACTGTTATAGGACAGCTCGGCTTCTGGATGTGTGCAGGGCCATGCTGAAAGAGATGCCCCCTGATCCCTGTGGCTAGTCCTCAAAGATAACCCAGTTGTAAACAGGGTTATGGCTCAGTTTCTAGAGAAAGCTTGCCTGATATGCACAGGGCCCTGGGTTTGATTCCCAGTACCCTACAAGCTGGGAATGGTGGCACATGCCTATAATTCCAGCACTTGGGAGGTGGAAGCAGGATGTTCAAGGCCATCCTTGGCTACACAGTGAGTTAGAGGATAGTCTGGGCTGCATTAAGACCCCATCTCAAATAAAAAACAAGTATATCATCTGGACTTAAGGTGGGCTATAGAGTTGGTGACCATAAAAGAATAAAGAGACAGGGAACGGGAAGTCCACTGAGGCTGACACTGGAGTGACAGTACCCATGCCTAGGAACACCATGCCTGCTTTCCAGGTGTTAAGGACTTCGGTGGATCTCCCTCAGGGGTGTGGCCTGGCCACATCTTGGTTTTTGCTGTTGGTCTTTGGAATTGAGTGGACAGTGCTGAAATCTGCCTCCTACTTGGTGGGGCTTTTTCAGCAAATCCAGGGAGGATATAACATTTGCATATGCAGTGAGAAGAGGCTCTGAAGGCAACTTCCAAGCCAGAAGGAGGAAGAAGACATTGTAGCAGCTGCCTGTAGCCAGGCCACCCCCTCCAGGAGCTTCGGCAGGCCACTGGCAGCTCTCACCTTCACTGCAGTTAGACCCTGTCCATCCAGCGTCGCAGCGGCAGCCAGCTGCAAAGAGCAAGACCATGGAGGCCAGGTGAGGGCCAAGGCAGGCCTGGTGTAAGAGAACTGGGGTCCCGTCAGAGCACCACCCTCCCTGTGGGCTCCCCACTCACTCTCTGTGCACAGCCCATGCTGGCTGCAGTTGGAGGGGCCACAGTCTAGCTCGCTGCAGGCGGCACCCCGCCAGAAGCGGCTGGTGCATTCGCAGTGACCATCCACACAGGTCCCGTGGCCACTGCAGTTGGGTGGCTGGCAGCGGGGTTCATGCACACACACCACGGTGGACACACGGCGGGGACAGCGCCACATGTTGTCCTGGCTGCGGGGGATTCATTGTGAGGAGAGGTCTTGGCCTTGGTGCTGGCCCCAGCTGGCCTCTTAAGTCCCTGCTGCTGCCTAGAAGGCTGCTCCAGCCTGCCTCCATCTCCATCCTGACACGTGCACTCCTGCATGCGCATGTGTGTTCACACACACATTAGGGGATGCACATGTGCACATGGAGTCAGGACAACCTGAGGTACCCACCATTTAAATGTTTATTTTACTTATCTTTCTCTGGCCTGGACCTTGCCCAGTAGGCTAGGCTGGCTGGCCTGAGTGTCAGGTTGACCTGTCTCTTCCTCCACAACACTGGGATTCCAAGCATGTGTCACTCACATCTGGCTTTTCATGTGTGTCCTAGAGCTTGAACGCAGGTCCTCTGCTTGCAAGACAAATCCTTCTCCTGCTGAGCGATTGCTCCAGCCTCACTGGGCCATTTATAGGCTGCTCTCTCCCTTGCTACACTGTGCCTTCTGGTGGAAGGTTCCCTCAATGCTGGCCAGCCATTTCCTCACAAAGGCGGCTCAGGTGCTCTTACCAGTGATCCGAGGGGTAATTGGCCAGGGTCCCGTTGCGCACAAAGGTGGCGGAACCACCTCCGTCCAGATTGATGGCATTGACCACATCTTGTCTCAGCAGGAACTCTGCCATCTCCCACAGGTTGATGCTGTGCAGAGGGGGTATGTAGCTGAGTCCCCTCGGGCTCTGGCTTAACTGTCCCCCTTTGGTCAGTAGGTAAACACTATCACTCCTACTGGGGCAGAGGGAAACTTCTAAAATAGCCCCAAAGCTGTAATGTCCCACCCACTGTCCCAGAAACTGTTAGAAGGTGGGGGAAACTGAGTGCAAACATCCCCAGGGGTTCCTGGGACTCACCCACGCTGCTCCGTCTGTCCATCTGCATGGAAGAGTACGAGTTGCCCCTTACGGTCATGACCCACGGCTGTCCTGGCTGATATCACATTCACAAATTTGCTGAAAGAACCTGAAGGAGAAGGGGCCTGGCTCGTTACCCAGCCCTGCAGGGGACCCTCTAAGCTCTACAACTTTTTTTCTTTTGCTGTTGCTGGGGAAGGAACCCAGAACCTTATGTGGACAAGGCAAGTACTAGATTACTGAGCCACATCCCAGCTCCACCTCCAGTGAGCCTCCATGCCACAGCCAGAAAACTCTTCATGTGACCTCAGTCTCCAGTAGAAACCTCTGTGTTGGCAAACGAAAATCCACAGGCCTTGCATGAAGCCCCTGGCCTCATCTCTGTGGTTCCCCTTCACCTAGCAGCTACTCTTTACCTTAGGGCCTTGCACTCTGCACTCTGGCTGGGAACTGTAAAAGACAGCCTCCTCAGTCACACGCCCCACCCCCTCGCCCCACTCTCTACCCTGAAATAGCCAGAGAATCTCAGGACCAAAGCATCCTTTCACACCCCAGCATTTTATACTCTGGAGGTGTGCATGCATGTGCACATGCCTGTGGGGGTCAGAGGACAACCTCAGGTGTTGCTCCTCAGATGTCTTCCACTTTCTGTTTGAGACAGGGTCTCTTGTTGGCCTGGAATGTCCCTACGTAGGTTAGGTTATCTGGCTATTCAGAGATCCACCTATCTCTACCTCCCATCTCACCATTCCTGGGACCACAAGTGTACACCTTGGCACTTGGCTTTTTTTTTTTTTTTTTTTTTTGGTTTTTTCGAGACAGGGTTTCTCTGTGTAGCTTTGCGCCTTTCCTGGATCTCGCTCTGTAGACCAGGCTGGCCTCGAACTCACAGAGATCCACCTGGCTCTGCCTCCCGAGTGCTGGGATTAAAGGCGTGCGCCACCACCGCCCGGCTGGCACTTGGCTTTTTATGTGTTTTCTGGGGCTCGAACTCAGGTTCTCACACTGTCAAGGCAAACACTTTACTGATCAAGTCAACTCACTAGCCCACCCCCAAGTGGCTCTTAAACTTGAACATCCATCAGAGTCACCAAGGGAGAGCCTGCACATTCGGCTTGTTAGGACTTAACCAGTGGTTCCTGAATGGGAGGTCGAAGGTGTGTGGACTCATGGTTCTGTATTTACGACAAGCTCCAAGGCTATGTGGAGGTCGCTGTGGCACACACCCGAAGCACTTTCCTCATACCTGTGCGTCTGTTCCCCACTGGTCCCTTTCTCCTCTTTCTTTCTTTCTTGGCACTTGTCAATTCTTCCGAAGTATTTTCCTTCTTATATATTCTAAGTAAGACTGAATTCCATGACTCCCACCATAGCACTAGGCACTGAATAGCTTCTCAGTAAATGCTTGGGAACACTGAAGAGTAGCCTACTCACACTGTTCCTGGGTCTCAAGAAAGCTGGTGCTGGGGCCAGCAAGGTGGCTCAGTGGCTCCCATTGGGCTTGACAGCCCGAGTTCAATCCTCAGGACTCACAAAGTGGAAGGAGAGAACTAGCTGTCCTCTGACCTTCCCCCACACACTATGGCATGTGCCCCCGTCCTCTGCACACACAAAGTAAATAAATAAAAACATAACAATAAAAAAGAAAGCCCCACGCTGACTCCCTTCCTGACCTGTTTCCTGTGTCTCATCGCACTCGGTGGCTTGGCTCTCATTGATGTAGACGCTTCCATTGCGGATGAGCCACACAACTCCACTCAGCAGCTGCACAAACGGATTCACAGTGTCCAGAACCTCCTCCTCAGACAGGTACCTGGAAGCAGGGAGGCAAGGGGCTCACTCATGGGCAGGAACAGCTCCAAGTTTTTCTGTAATTTTCCTAATTGCTAATTCGTTAGCAGCTGCTCCACAGACACTTCAAGGCAGTCACACAAAGACTGCACCCGATTGCCCAGCCAGGGCTGTTTGAAACAGTTTGTGCCAAACTTTTTGCTTGGTGACCCTGCAACTATTTCTACCTAGGCCAGAGGGAGAGCATATCCCTTGGTAGTCTAGCAGGACCACTGTGATGGGTGCTAAAGAGGCAAGGCTGTGATTGGTGAAAATGCAAGCCTTCATTAGGATTCGAGGTGTGCTGTGACTGGTGCGAGAACTGCTTCTCTGGATGTTTAAGCAGATGTTCAGTTGAGCTGGGGAGTGAGCTGGATGATGCTCTCCTGTGCTGCCTCCTCTGTGCGCCTACATTAGACATAATGAAAGAATCTTCTTCTCTTGCCATCTTTAGTAACATGTGCTGACCTAATAATACAAACGGTCAGAATAGGCAGCTGCGTGGCAGCTAGCAAGTGGGAGGATGGGCTGGAAAGACAGCTCAATGGGTAAAAAAAGTCTTTTTACCCAAGCATGAGGACCTGAGTTTAGAGATCCCCGGCACCCACGCAAAAGCTGCTGTAACCCTAGTGTGGGGGATGGACTAGGGAAACAAGAGGCCAGCTGGGGCTTGCTAGCCAGCCAGTTTAATTGAATCAGTGAGCTCCAGATTCAGACCGTATTAGCAAATAAGGCAGAGAACAATGGAAGATGCTTGAAATCAAACTCTGGCCTCCACATGGGCCCACACGGATGCACACATGAAAGAAAAAAACAAAAAAGGATGGGAGCAGACCATCATAGAAAGAGCAGCAGGGGTAATTGAGACAGTGGCCAGGGCAACAAGATAGCTGACAGTCAGAAGGGAGCCCAAGAGAGGGACAAGGGAGACAGTGGGAGTGTGGAGAAGGTGAAGAAGCACTGACTGAGGTTGAAGGACAGAACCAGGGAAGAGTAACCGCTGGCGTTGGTCACTGGAAGAACTTTTAGGGCTTTTGACAACACAAGACCAACAGTTCTGGGGCTGGCTACTGCTGAAGGATGAAGAACCAGACGCCTGCGCAGGCCCAGAAACTGCAACCAGGGGCTGCTAAGAGCTCGGCAAAGTCCACTTTCCGGCCTTGGCAAAACTGTACCTCTTGCAAGAGAGCTGGGACACTAGATGGCGCAATCTTCTACTCTGGCTGCTGCCAAATCTCAAGCGATACAGTCAGAAACTGAAAGATGCCACTCCTTGCCTACCCAAGATTTCTATCCGGGAGAGCAAAAGGCCTCCAGCTAGCTGTCTAGGACTTCTCCATAAACTCTATATTATTTCCAATTGGTTCCATGGCTTCGCTGACCATGAAACGTTTTTTTCTAATCCTAGGGAAAGTTCGCTAAGGCACAAACTATGCGTTCAGGCTCATGGTCGCCTCCGCAGGGCCCCACACACGGCCTGATCACAGAGCAAGCGTTCAGTAACACACGAGTAAACTTCAAGGAAGTTGTCAGCATCCCCACTCTGAAGTTGAATAATAGGAAGCTTGGTTAGGTGATCTGGGCACGGAGGGCACGGCTCTAAATGCACATCGGAGACCCTCTGCCCGGGACAGCCCCGGGCTCTCGACCTCCTCACCCGGTGACCAAGGTCCCGTCGCGGCGGATCCCGAACTGAGCGTTCTGCAGCCCCCCGGAACTGCTCACCAGCCGCCCGTCGCTCACCACGTTCCCCAAGCACTCGCCGGTGCCCATGCGGAAGAAGCCACCGTTCTGGGCGATGAGGCAACCTGCCGGGACGGCTGTGTCTTCCACGGTGGCACGGCGCTTCTGCGCGCAGCCTCCAGGTCCCCCGGGCTCCAGCACCGAGAAAGTGCGCAGAGGCGCGGCGACCCGTGTCAGGTGGCCGGCCACCGCGCGGCCCCCGAAGTGCGACACAAAGGTGCGCACGGCCGCGCGGTGGCTGGCGCCAGGGGTCGCGGGCGGCGGAGGCCAGCTCTCTTGCTCGCGGCTGCCGGCGCGCACCCGGGCGCAGTCCCGCGAGGGACGCGTGCGCGCGAGTGGGTAAGGCAGCAGCAGGTCATCGTCGCGGGAAACCCTGCGGGGACGGGGCGATCGTGAGCTCAAAGGGCTGTGCCCGAGAGCACGCAGGACAGGGGGACCCCAGCCAGCCGGCCCCGGCAGCTGCACTCACCCCGAGCCCAGGCTGCACCACGCCACTCCTAGCAAGCCGAGCAGCGAGGGCAGGAAGAGCAGCCCGCATATCCTGGGGGACGCCATATTGGATGGGGACTCTGGTCACGTGGGCCCGCCCCATGTGACTCCAGGCCAGCTGGTGTGTACTTCCAGGTACCAAGGGCCTGGACACCTTGTTTATAAGATTAAGCCTCCAAATTCCGTCAGGGAGGGTAAGGCTGGAAGGGCGATAGGTAACTTTAAATATTTATTTACTTTAATTTTTTTTATTTTATCTATCTATCTATCTATCTATCTATCTATCTATCTATCTATCTATTTATTTTGGTTTTTCGAGACGGGGTTTCTCCGTGTAGTTTTGGTACCTGTCCTGGATCTCGCTCTGGAGACCAGGCTGGCCTCGAACTTAGAGATCCGCCTGGCTCTGCCTCCTGAGTGCTGAGATTAAAGGCGTGCGCCACTGCCGCCTGGCAACTTTTAATTTTTATATGATGTCAAATTCATAGAAAATTTCAAGAATTGGGGGCCTGGGAACGTGTAAGTTGGTACAGTGCATGCTCGAAGCTCTAGGTTCCATCTTTTGCACTGCACAAACCGGAAGTGGTGGCCCATGACATATATTCCCAACATTCTGGGGAGGCAGGACAATCATAAGTTCAAGGTCATCCTTGGCTATATAGCCAGTTTGAGACCAGTCTGGACTACATGAGACTTTGAGAAACAAACAAACACAAAAAAAAAAACATTGTAAGAAAGAAGTGTAGCTAGAGTTTTCCTGGTCCTGCCTGGCCCATAGTCAGGACAAATCTCTCTCACCCCCCAGTCTTGCAGTTGGCCAGACCCAACCAAGTAAACACACAGAGACTTATATTATAAACTGTATGGCCGTGGCAGGCTTCTTGCTAACTGTTCTTATATCTTAAATCAACCCATTTCTATTATTCTGTAAGTTGTCACGTGGCTCGTGGCTTACCTGTACCTTACATCTCGCTTGTCATGGCGGACTGGCAGTGTCTCTCTGCCTCAGCCTTCCCAGAATTCTCTTCTCTGCTTGTCCCGCCTATACTTCCTGCCTGGCTACTGGCCAATCAGTGTTTTATTTATTAACCAATGACAGCAACACATTTGACAAACAGAACATCCCACAGCAAAGAAGCTTGGTTGGTGGGGCTAGAGAGATGGCTGAGCGGTTAAGGGAACTGGCTGCGCTTCCAGAGGACCAGGATTTGATTCCCAGCACACACATGGTGACTCACAACAATCTGTAACTCCAGTTCCAGAGGATCTGACACCCTCTTCAGGCTTCCACAGGCACCAGGCATGCATGTGGTGCTCAGACATACATGTAGGCAAAACACCTATACATATGGAATTTTAAAAATTAAAAAAAAGTGAGGTTTTTTTAGATGTACATTAGCTCATCAAAGAGTTAAACATTGTGTCTCTTTAGTGTGGATTATGGTGCACCCGTGAGTCTAAGAGTGGTCCTGCCTCTTGGTGGGGTAGGCGTTGCCGGGTGAGTGACCTGTCTGACTGGATTATCTCTTCTGTGTTTTGGGTAGCTTGGTTTATTTTTGGTTTTGTTTTTGAGAGAGGGTCTCTCTATTTTAGGCAGGCTGGCTTGAAATTCTATGTAGACTGGTCTAGATTCTCTTGAAATACTGTGCAGACTGGTCTAGATTCTCTTGAAATACTGTGCAGACTGATCTAGATTCTCTTGAAATACTGTGTAGACTGGTCTAGATTCTCTTGCTTCTGCCTAATCCCCAAGTGACAAGATTAAAGGCACAGGTCACCGAGCCTGGCTCTGTTTCAGACCTATCTTGGAATGATAGGTCTCCACCCATTTGAGAAAGTTCTTCCTCTTGACCGAAGAAACCAGTTTTCCTTTACCTGGCCTTTAGGATGTAGGGATGCCTCTTGAGATGGCTCGGCAGGTAAACGTATTTGGTGTGTGACCTGAGTTTGATGCCATGTAAGAGAGGCAGGAAAGAACCGAGTCCAGAAAGTTGTCCTCTGACCTCCACATGTGCACCATGGCTTATGAACCCACCCATACCACACACGCATAATAACTAACGCAGAATCCCCAGGTGTGTGGTGTAGTATGCTAAAGCAAGTCCTGCACCTGGGACCCTCAAGGCCATGATGTCACCAGGAAGCACAGTTTATATTTTATCTCTGCCTTCACACTTCCTTTCTTTTTTTTTTTTTTTGGTTTTTCGAGACAGGGTTTCTCTGTGTAGCTTTACACCTTTCCTGGAACTCACTTTGGAGACCAGACTGGCCTCAAACTCACAGAGATCCGCCTGGCTCTGCCTCCCGAGTGCTGGGATTAAAGGCATGTGCCACCACCGCCCGGCCACACTTCCTTTCAGAGGTTGCTTTTCTTGGGGCTTCTTCTCCCAGGGCAGTACCCAAGGCAAAGTTCAGTGCCTGACCTCCTCAGGAGGCATTGCAAGTCTAACAATTCCTGCAGGGATTTGAGTAGGTCTAGCTCCTTTCTGTCCGTAGAAAACAATGTGTGTGCTTGAACCTTAGCCTTCCTGAGAGGTACTTCTCAAGGCCTGTGTGTGATCAGAGTCGGCCATCTGTATTGGATCATGTCCCTCCCAAAATTCGTGTTCTTTGCAAGACCCCAGAATGGGTTATTTGTACGTCTGATTTTTTGTGTGATCAGAGTCGGCCATCTGTATTGGATCATGTCCCTCCCAAAATTCGTGTTCTTTGCAAGACCCCAGAATGGGTTATTTGTACGTCTGATTTTTTTTTTTAGACATAATTAGTTCATATGAGGTCTTCCTAGAGCTGAGCTGAGTGGATTGCAAACCTCGTCTGACTGTTGTATTGAGAAGAGGAAGCAAGGCCATATGGAGATGTAGCAGCCACTGGAGTGGGGCAGCCACAAGCCAAGTGATGCCTAAGGGGTTCCACAGCCTTAGACACTCAGAGGCATGCAGCAGTCTCTGTTCTGTGGACTAAGCTCAGATTCTCCTGAGATTTCAGAGAGAGCCTGGATGGCTGACACACTGATTCTTAGCTCATACAGTCAAGGCCAGCGAATGGCTCTTCACAAATGATGGAGGCCTAAAGTAGCCATAGCTCACTCCAGTGAACACTGTTCAGAGAGGCTGCTCTTCCGGGAAATGCAGTGTTAAATGATCTGGTTGCATACCACTACGTGGATGTGGAGGGACCGTGTCTCTCTGTTCTTTGCTTTGGGCTGCTAAAGGCAGTTGGCCAGCAAGCCAGGCCTGCCTGCATCATCCCTCCCTCCCTCCCTCCCTCCCTCCCTCCTTCCCTCCCTTCCTTCAAAAGTCCTTTCTTCTCTCCGACTGTCAGGAGTGGGCCACTAACAAGGCAGGTTCTGGCTTTGGTATTCTCTATTTCAATGCCTGCTTCTCCCTCGAAGGTGCTATCCTGTTGAAGCTAAGAATCAGTGTGTTAGCCATCCAGGCTCTCTCTGAAATCTCAGGAGAATCTGAGCTTAGTTCACAGAACAGAGACTGCTGCATGCCTCTGAGTGTCTAAGGCTGTGGAACCCCTTAGGCATCACTTGGCTTGTGGCTGCCCCACTCCAGTGGCTGCTACATCTCCATATGGCCTTGCTTCCTCTTCTCAATACAACAGTCAGACGAGGTTTGCAATCCACTCAGCTCAGCTCTAGGAAGACCTCATATGAACTAATTATGTCTAAAAAAAATCAGACGTACAAATAACCCATTCTGGGGTCTTGCAAAGAACACGAATTTTGGGAGGGACATGATCCAATACAGATGGCCGACTCTGATCACACACAGGCCTCGAGAAGTACCTCTCAGGAAGGCTAGGGTTCAAGCACACACATTGTTTTCTACGGACAGTACCCAGACAACTGGGCCGAGGACTTCCTTCTCAGCTGGAGATAGCTTTGTCCATGTCCTTGACTGAGTTTTCTCGTTGTTTGTGTATTCAACAGTGTGTGTGACCTTTCCTGGGGGAAATGAGTAAATATCTGTTCACCTCAGGGCACCAACAACAGACTGAAGGGACAATTCTTCCACATCCAGCCTAGTGAGCCCGTGAGTTTATTGAGGGTCCTTACAGAAGCATGACTGATTAAAAGGTAGCTGCAGCAACTGAAGAGGCCTCCCCCACATGGGGGATGACTTGCAAAAGCTCACACAGAGAAACCTTGTCTGGAAAAAAAAAAACAAAACAAAACACACACACAAAAAAAAACCCAAAACAAACAAAAAAAGGCCAAGCCATCCATTAGCACAAGCCCCATCTCATCCTCTTTTGGGATGTCTTCCTGTGCTCATGACTTCAGCTGCTGCAGGCCTGTGGCGTGTTGGAGACAGGAAGAGACTGACATCAGATACGGAAAGCATCGGTTTTTGTGCTTGTCTGTCTGTCTGTCTTAGCTTTCTGGGGACTGAGTAAAGTCTGGCACCTGCCCGCTCCAGCAGGCACTGTTCCCCTGTGCCCTGTGCCTTTCAGCTTTGCGGCCAGTGTGCCGTGGTGAGCCCAGAACTGCAGGGCTCCTCCCGCCACAGCCTCATCCTCTTGTGTAACTTCCTGGCCCTGTGGTTTAGTCTGGGCCTTCGGATAAAGGTGGGGATGGTCGTGTGTGAGCTGGGAGGAAGCACAGGGAGGGGCGGAAGGGACACTAGCAGTCGCAGTGGGTCCACCCGTGTTGGCGTTTGCAATAAAACGTTTATTAAGTGATAAGCATCTGCAGTCCAGGGGACAGAGAGATGTGAAGACAGATGCCAGGACGTTTACCTCACATTAGTCATCCCTCATATCTGTGGACTCCGGGAAAGAGTCAGTGTTACTAGCAAAGGCAACCTCATGTTTCCGCAGATATAGGCAACCATGGTGCCCTCACTGAAGTCGTCATCAGGGCACACCACAGCTGTCATCGAGGCAGAAAAAAACAGCCCATCACGTATGGCTCAGTTGAGTGAACTGTGGGGCGTTTACCCACCAACCCCACAGCTCCCCAGAGTTTTCTTGAGTATGAGCAGCAGGAAATAATAGATAGAAAGATTTATTGAGGAGAATCTTGCGGAGATAAACAGATAGAAAATAAAGGATAGCCTCGAGAGGACCTGGAACCTTTTCCA